TCAAGTTAAAGTTTTAACTCTTAATTTCATTTTTCCCTCACACAGAAAGAGGACCTGTTCTTCACTTACAGAATCACAGAATCGTTTAGGTTGGAAGGGACCTCTGGAGATCATCTAGTCCAACCTCCCTGCTCAAGCAGGGACCTCTAGAGCATATTGCCCAGGACCACATCCAGACGGGTTTTGAATATCTCCAGCGAAGGAGACTCCACTACCTCTCTGGACAACCTGTGCCAATGCTCTGTCACCCTCACAGTCAAGAAGTTTTTTCTCAGGTTCAGACGGAACTTCCTGTGGTTCAGTTTCTGCCCGTTGCCTCTGGTCCTGTTGCTGGGCACCACGGAGAAGAGGCTGGCCTCATCCTCTTGACACCCCCCCTTCAGATACTTGTACACGTTGATGAGATCCCCTCTCAATCTTCTCTTCTCCAGGCTGAACAGGCCCAGCTCTTGCTCATTTCCCCACTGGTTTCATTTTCCTCCTTCTTTTTAATTTATTTCTTGAGAACCTAGACGTGGTCGAATGCTAGAGATGATTCGAGCGACAAACAAGCGCAAGGTATAGTTGAAATATGTAAATAGATAATGTCTATCAGATAGAAACTCAGTTTGTATTAAACAGCTACTTTAATGTCCTCAGATCAGAGATCTATACCAAAGACCATTTTAGCAAGACAACTTGTGTGTGTGTGTAATCACAACAGTGATTACATTATACCTTTCCTCCATCAGACAGACTGCAAACCTGGTCCCAGAAAGAAATCACAGGCAGCCCGGCCATCACAAAACCTAACAAAATAAACGTATGACCAAGTCAACACCAACAGATTTCTACTTCGCTCTAAAGAATGTTATATCGCTGTAGTCTTTCAAAGTGTGTTTCCTTGTTTGAAGCCTATCTACCAAGAGATTGAGTGCAGAACTGTTTTCAGAATACTGTGAACTGCAGTTATTTTTCTGCAACCTTTTCCCTTCACAGGGGATTCAATTACTAACAAGGTAAAGAAACACACACCAAAGGCTTTCACCTAAAAGCTGGCAACTACAAAGGGCTGTACATCATTATAATCTCCCTGTTGGCAGCTCTCAGGAAACATGCACATTCTTCATCTCTTAGCTTGCATTTCGCAGGACTCCTTTAGGAAGCTTTGTCCCAGGCCTAACAACTTTGTTTCATCAGTACGTTTTGTTGTTCAGTACTTCAGTGTTCATACACTGCCCTTGTCATAAACACCCTTGGCTACACTTGTACTAGCGGCTGGATCCATTATCTGCCTTTCAGGCTACCTGACACAGCCTGGCCAAGCCTATACTATCAAACCCTCTTCTCCAAAACACAGATACCACATCAAAGCAATTGGAAAGGATACTGGCCTGCGTCAGCTTCTGAAACATAACTCTCAACATCACAGAGATGCCAAATAGAGCCCAAGAGAACACCCTGATCAGGAACTCTGCAGGGTGGACGTGACAGTTACAGAGGAAATTACCACCGCCTGGTTCTGGTAATGTTCAAGGTAAAGACTTGTGTTCTTCAGCCATTCAATGCGTTATAGGAATAACTAGAATCAAATGAAAACAAATTGCTTGGATTTTTCAGACCAACTAAAAAAAAAAAATCCACCTCAATGAGCTGCTAAGAACATGACAGTTAATGTGATAACAGCTCGGCTGGCAGCAGAGATGGTCTTGCTATGCATTTTCTCTGTTTGGTCCTTCCTTTTAGCTCAAGTAAGCTACAGTTCTGAACTAGCTTCACTAACATTTATAATATTGCTTATTCGAAGACAGCGTGCACTGTGCTTAACAAATGAGAGCAGAGAATATAGGAACCACAATTTGTACCCTGGTAGTGGTGAAAAAAGGGTTTTTAATATACGAATTGATATGCAAAATAACTTGATTCTTGTATTTGAAAGAAATAGAATTATCCCCAACATCCCTTCCTCAAATTTACAGCATTAATGCTACCTTCCTAAACTTACATGATTTTGAAATTTGGTAAACTGTGATAAATTTCTTAAGCAATGTAACAGGCATTCAGCTGCCTGAAATCAGGCTGCACAAACTAGAGGAGTTGGAGATGACTAGACAAAGCTATCGGTAAGGAGTTTGTGGAATTACAAGCTCTAAGACACAGCAGATACCAAGAACTTTGCCAAAGGAAAACACACAAGTCAGGAGCTTTTTACTTTCACAGTATGGACTCGCAAAGCAATTCTCCAGTTGTGCACTTTATCTTAATCCTGCACTACAGGGTGTTCTTGTACTTCCCTCTGAAACATCTGACCCTGGGAGTTTCAGAGATGGGACATAAGAACGTGTCTTGTAAATTCCAAGATTACTCCAATTCTCAAATCAGTCCTGAACAAAAAAAAAGCAGCTAGGTTCTCAAGAATCTCAAATCCCTAAATTCTTTGATTAAAGAAAATGCCCTTCCTCAATCCAGAGGACGCAGTCTCCCTAACACCCGCTCCTTCCCCACCTTTTACCTTGAACAACAGAGCACAGATCCAGAGAGCAGCTTTCATGTCTGCAATCAGTTGGCCTGGAACAAAGAATAAATCTTGCACAGACAAAACTTCCAATTCAGTAATACAATTCATTGGAGAGTTTTCACCACACTCATTTGCTGCCCAACTTTATTGCTGTTTTAATTCCCCTGGCACCATCTCCCAGTATTACCGTGAGGCAGGAACAACCGCTTATGCCCGAGTTCATTAACGATGCTACTTAAATACTTCAATCAGCCTTTCTGTTGTGGTTGCTGCATTATTTCAACCTGTACTTTTGAGATAATAATCAAGAGTTCTGCATTTACAGAAAACAAATTCCCGGAACAGCCTTCTGAAATTCTCCCCAAGCATCTGACTTCAGAAACTAGCCAGGTCAACTACAAGCCAGACTGAAACTGCTTCTGCAAGCCAGTGCTGCTTCCCATTTATTAGCTGACTTTATCCAAAGTAGGTGATAAAAAGCAGATTAGAACACACACTATAAAACCAAAATAGCTGAACTGCATTAAGTATGCTGTGGCCATTACTCCAACACAATTAAAAGAAGGGTCCGTACGTATTATCGACTGTTAAGTTCTGAACTGAAAGTCAACTTCTCATATTCAATCTAAAGTAGTTTTAACATGTTCCAGTGAACTGAGGGGATCAGGACTCACGGGAAGGATTTTGATCCCTGGCACCACAGGCAGATAGATAGGAAAGCTATTCAAGCCTGCCTCTCACCGGTTCAAAAGCCTCTTAACCATTACAGGATTTCACACATTACTAACAAAGAATAAGCTTACATGAGGTTTCGAACTAAAAGTAGCAGAGACAAGTAAGACCGTTCTGTATAGGTAAAACATTTTTGACACAGGAAAAAACAACAAAAAAATAGTTTAATATTTGGCGAGTACCTAACTGTCCATCTATATTGCCTATTGCAGTGTAATTTAGCTGACAAACTTTATTAAGTATCAAGCTTAGTCTTGGCCATTTAAACGCTATCTACCAGAATAACATTGTTTAAAAAACAAACAAAAAGAGCCCAAAGTCATTCCAACCCATCCAAGCACCAATTTTGACAAAAGGAAAGAGGAAAAGTAGCTATACAGATGCCACTTCTTACCAAACATTACAGCAAATTTTCTCTTTGCGTTTGTTAGGAAACTGTACGCACATTTCCAGGCTGGTCGATTAATTTATTTGTAAAACAGTCTAGAAAATCCAACCAAATTTGAGCTTCAGCTGTACCAAATAATACTCCCACAAGCCTGTAACTGGAAGACAAAGACAAAATATAAAGGAGATAAACTTCATTTAATGTTATCCTATTAGATAGCCATTGTATTTCATAATTGTTTGAATGTCACTCCTTAAGTTTAACTAAACACGTCATATAATATATGACATTATAGCTCTTTCCTCCCAAGAGGAGCAACGTAACCCTCTTTTGACTTAAGCTAAAGGATTTCAGAGAAAAACTACCAAATAGCTTCACGAAATTTACAGACAAGCACCCCATTGTTGCCTTCAACAGACAGAACCATAAACACAAAGGAGATTTGGTCAAGTTTAATTGCAACTCTCTCCCAGAGTTTGACAGCAGTTGCTTCGTATAAATAAGGTAATTAACAGCTTTCACATTAAGGATCACATAGATAAATGAGAAACCAGAAGACGCTTCACAGGTCCGCATTTCCTGCTCCTCCCTCTTGCAGTTTCCTGCTACGTAAAAAAAACCCACCACCACACACACACTTCTTACAGCCCAAATTCAAAAGAGAAACGTATCCCTAACTTGCAAATAAGCAATAATTAAGCCACCTCAAACGTCTTCCCGATTAACAAGAAACTCCATTTCCACTTGTCGAGACGCAAGGGAAGTTTATAAGCCTTTCCAGTATGAAGTCAAACTGCTATATGCTTCCTAAATACTATAGTATAAACTAATTCCCCTTTAAGTGCGTACACAGCATTTACTTTAAACGAGATTCATCAGGCTAGAAAGACCACTATCTGAACAACGAGATCCCACCATTGCTTATTTAGGACAACACTAAAGCAGCAGAAATATCATCACTGTACAACGGGGAACACAAGACTAGACAAGGCAGCACGAATTCAAGATCATTTTGTATGAAAACTTCAGAACACATTAACTGGTTGGCTACACAAAAATTTCTCATCCCAGGAAACAGATCCAATTCACTTGACAGATTGAGACGTTCCCACATTAAGAACCCCCACGTCACAGAGAAAAAGAAAAAACAGTGCCTGAAAATAATGCTTACGTGCAACTCGCTGGTGTTTTTAAACTATGATTTAAGAGGTAAACATAAAGTGACTCTATGCATTGACAGTTCATAACAAAAAAAAACTCGCCCTCTGCAATCTATAGAATTGTACTTCATAAACTCCATACCTGACAGAGGCAAGAAAAAAGCTGCAAGACAGTTCAAAAGAAAAAAACATTTTAAAGGCAAAAAAAATTACCAAATTCACGTAACAGTACAGAATGCTGTCCAGTTTATTTTATTTAGACAGATTTCATAACAATTTCCGAAGAATTAACAAATTTTCATCCACCACCTTCCAGCAAGGCACAAGCAGTAATACCTTCCTTTTCCTCTCACCTTCATGTTTTGGCTTTTCTAGGCTAATCTCTCTCAATCACCAAATTTTCATTTAAAATACCTCTGGCAATATCCTTTAAATATTAGAGTTTAGAAAATGTTCATATTTCTAACAGTGCCGAGCTGGATACAGTGGTACCAGAAAGCATTTCTCTCTGCGAACAACGGTTACTAAGGTGAACTCCACAATGCCATTTCAGTGAAATATCCTTTAAACTCCTCCATAGTCCTCAGTTAGCTATGTAATTAAACTAAAATCTTCAGACTGCACGTCTTTGAGCACAACGTTTTCCATCACTTGTCATTCTTGGCCCAAACACTGCAAATGGAACACCGATTATTAAAACCCGACATTCGTACATTCCAAAACTGCCAAATTCAGCTCTTCGATAAGCATCAGAACATGCCTCTTAGTAAAACACAGAGCAGCAGTCCACTATCTTGTTTTATAGCTTTTGTTGCATGTCGAAATTTTTCAACAATTAAAAAATACAAAAGGTTAAGACTGAGCAAACAAAGGCACAAGAGAAAAATCTAGTTGAAACAAAAAGCAGCATTTTCTGTCTGGTAACAAAAGTCTCAATACGCATATGCACAAATGCTAGAAAGAAGTCTTATTAAACATACTATGTATTTGTTTCAGTAGACAAGCAAAAGTCATTTTGAGACAAGAATTTATTCATGCTGGCATTTAAAATTTCAGATAAATAAAAAACCAATGGAGTAGAAGTCACAAGATTTTTGATTAACTCAGCCTTCCAGAACTTCAGCTTCAGTGTGACCATACTTACCAGTGCCTTTTGACAAACTCAGCTCCAAAACCCATCATATTTATTATTTATTTGAGGCCGCACAGCGTTTTTGACAATCACTACCCTCAAAAATGAGGGCTATGTGGAATGAAATAAATAATCTTGCATAGTTAGCGTGGACACAGTGTGTTCTGTTAACTTACTTGTAGATGCCAGAAGCTTTCTGTACACTGCTTTACACTGCAAGACACTGATGATTCAATTTCTCTGCACTCAACTCTACGTTCTAGTTCAACTGCAGTTATAGCGTTACTGGTCCTTGCTCTAGAGTTACCTTCTTCAGCATTTTTCATGTCGGACCATTTCCTTTCCAACCAGTTAGACAGCCCAACTTTGAGGGCATTCTTAATTACATCTTAATTAAGATGTAAGGCATGCAAATGCCTTCATCCACATGTGCCCTATTGGTACGAACAGGAGCTCCCCACATGAAGTCTGTCAAATAGGTTATGTCAGAAGGATACATCCCGGCTATTCACCACCAAAGAGTACATCGAGGCTGTTTGAAGAAAAGCTTAGAAAAGAATGATGCACAAAGATGAAATTACTCAGCACTCTGGGTGCACCGATTGGTTTAGATGAGGAAACAATATTCAGTTGGCAACAATTTGCATTTCAGCTCCAGTACCAATGGTTTAAAGAAATTCATGTGGAAACCTTTTTCTGTACATATTTTATGTGGAAAAATATAGCCCTTCACTGCAAGCATGTACAAGAACTGTGCTGCACAGGAGCATTTTAGGTTCCTTTCTTCATGTACCGCGAGAGGAACTGGCTTCTGACAAAGTGGACGAGCTTGGTCTCTGTGCAGAACACAGTAACGATGGTTGCTGTGAAGCACAGAGCTCCAACACCGATATGGATCAGCCTTGCCATCCAACCCTTATTGCAGCAGAAGAATATCTACAACAAAGGAAAGCAGCAATTGTAGAGAAACTAGTCAGCACAAGGTGGATACACCATCTCCATAACAAAAAGTCCAACGCTGCTCTTGACCATGCTATCATCATCATCAAGGTGAGCGCTATAAGCGGGTGCTAGAAAGACTTGCCACATGCATTGATCCTACAATAAAAGTTATCTTTAGTAGTCACAGTACTTGTTTTGCCATAAAAAGAATTTCTGTCAAACAGCAAAAAAATAAGCATTCAGTATATACCCGATACATGTGGAAGTTACTATCATTGGCCATGTATTTATATGTTGATACACTGGGAAAACTCTCCGGGTCCACATAAGTGCCATTTTGCAGCAACGCATTAGACTAAATTCTAACAAAAATCCCATTGGAAATCTTCCATTCCAAGATATACAGCTCTCCTCTCTAAGGCATAATGGATTTAAATCTGTCAAGTTTCTGGCACGCTGAAACACTATAGTCTCTGTAATAATCAGCCTGCCCAAATACAATCCAGTAAAACAGATGCAATAAACGTGTCTATGGCAATTCTGGTTTCTGTTTTGGTCTCCCCCACTACTTTATTTTTTTAATGGCAGTTCCTTTGTTCTACTGCAAGATCTCAAATATCACTAAAAATTGAGGAGAGGAATTCATCTACAGACAGTAGAAAAATTCTAAGTTTTACTTCACTTGCCAGATACACCTTCCTAGGTGGCAGAGATAACTACGTTTTAGGTGGAGATACACACGCGGTGAGGTTCAATATATCACATGTATCATTTAATCTCTTAACAGATACAAGCAGCCTTGCAAGCCTGTAATGAAAGGCTTCCAGCCTCTGACATAAGCTTTTTTGATAATTTAATTTCACTGGGAGTGGAAACGCAAATCATCTGACACTAACTTTTACAGTGAAAGCAAACCTGACAAAGACACTTACCTCTGAGAAAACAGTAATTACTCCACTCATGATATACACAAGTACAAGAAGCGGTGAGGGCAGCAAGCCTGCCAAAGGCCTGTAAGTGCTTTCTCTGAAGTAATCATAGATATAGTGGATGCTGTGAGCTATTCGAATCCCCATATTAAAGCAGTTGGCAAGGATAAAGCCTACGCTGCCATGCCAGTGGGTCAAGAAATAAGAGATGCACAGGAATGTGAAGGACAAGGCCAGCATGACAAAGTTATACCTAGGGAAAAGAAGAAAATATAAATAACATACTCAGTTATAATACTTGTTTACTAAATATATACTTGAAAATAAAAAGAGGAATGGACAAAATATCTTATCCTTTCCAACGGAAGTAGAGACAAACCTGAGAACTGAGACATTAATAAAAAATTTCGTTGGAAGAGTGGGAAAAAAATCTCAGAAATAAAACCAAACACTACCATTATACGAGGGAAATTCTGCTTCCTTAGCTAACTCTGCACTCGCATCTAGAAGTCCAATTTAGAAACAATGATTTGCAATAGCTGTAAAGATTTGAACTCGCATCTAGAAGTCCAATTTAGAAATTTTGAAATTTTGAACTTTTTTTGGTGCGTTATGTTAGGTAGCTATTAAAGAAAAACAATGCTCAAAAATAAGGTGACACCACTTTATGCAGTTTCTGCTCTAAACAGTGGCTTTGAAGACAAGTTCACACATTAAGAGGGTGATGAAAGTAGGCCTCGTCAATTTAAAAAAGGTACTTCTTTGCCTGTGCAAAACAGCTCTTTGAAATTAATTTTAAAACGGTCTTGTAATGGACAGCTCCTAGAGAACTGAAAAGGCCTGATGGTAGCATCGGAGGAGGGGCCACTGGACTTAAAAAATCATAAGAATAATAATAATCCGTAAACCAAGATGACCTAGAATCACATAGTAATTCAGGCTGGAAGGTATCTCAGAAAGTCATCTAGCCCAGCCTCCTGCTTCAAGTAGATAAATCACCGAAATTAAATCTGCTTACTCAAATCAGATTTTGCTTGTTTGTCTTGATTTGTTTTGCTTGATAGGGTACCAATAACATCTTAATTGCTATCTGGGAAACCAGAGAAGTTAACCATTTTTCATATCTTACAGTTATGCCCAAAGCACCCGGACTAGGAAATTAAAGGAGGATGCATTAGACTTGTAAGGCAAATGCTGTGTTTTCCTGAAATCTGATGGACCTTTCTTATACCACTAGTAATGAGCACTGCAGTTCAAACACTGTACTGCGCCATACTTCTAATGCTTACCCCTCCTGACGCCTAGCAGTGGAATTAGTTGAAAATTTGACGTCTCCAAAAGACATCTGGAATTTCCAAAAAGGAGGCTAGACAAATTCTCTGATGCATTTTGAGCTAACCTTCTGCTTCAGTGCGCGCTTTCTTTTGAAAAATCTAATCATAGGATCAAAAACATTTCTGAAGTTTCAGTTAATTACGGTTCAATTAAATTGCCAAAATTAACATGGACCCAAGGCTTGAGAAAACTCATCCCTGTAAAGTTTGATCGAGTATCACCAAATACAATGAAGGCTTCAGTCAAGAGATTACATTTTAAAATATTACTTTCATTTGTTTGTTTTGTTCTTTGCCATGTCTAAGAACATGAAAAAGAACAACAAAAAAAAAACTTTTATCACAGAAAGAATCAATTTTCTCATTGGCACATAAAGAGCTTCTAATGTTAGGGGGACTAACGCTCCTAAATTTACCAAAACGCTACATGAATGAAACTGGTCAAAAAGACCAGTTAGAGATAATGAAAAGTATACTTCAGTTAATTTTTCTTCCCCAAACACATAAAGTTTGAAAGCCTTCCATAAAACGAGCATCAATGCATGCTGAGAACCACCACCATCACCACCTTCAAGACTAAAAATAGAATTAAGACAGAATAGGTAATGCTATATAGCATTTATAATAAATAAAAAAGAGCAGTTTTTTTGTTTTTTTGTTTTTTTTTTAAATAAAGTAAAGCAAGACTGAGTAGATCTTCACAGCTGTTAAGTCCTCGCCTACAGGGTGCAGAACTAAAAGATTTTGTTCTCAATTTCATTCATCATGAAGAGAACACGAAGGAATCTTAAGCATTAAGAAACAATCAACCTCCTCTTTTCAACAAAAAAAGCTAGGTACAGATGTAGGATATAGTCGGGGAAAAAGGGACAGCAAAAAAAAAAAGAGAGAGAAAAGCTATGGTTTAGGTCATTCAGCAGAACAATTGCCATGCATTGTTTCTGAAATTGCACATGCAAATAAAACAAAACATTTTAATAGTTATGAGATTTGAATGATAATTTTCAATGATTATCTGCTTTAAAACTTTAAGTTAGTTTCCAAACACATGTTCAACGTAGAACAATTGTCCTCTGTTTAGACACTGAACGCCAAGTGAATCCTATAAAGATTAACTACGGGAATATTCTAGTGCCTTCTATTACCTACCTGTCTACCTCCTCTTTGCACATTAAAGCAAACGTAAAACATTCTGTTACTCCATTGACAGCAAGAAATAGGACATATAAAGAATAACATTGGAGGAGACTTGGACCTAAAAACCAAAACAAAAAAAGCAGAAGACATTAACATGATAAATGCACTGTTACATCTATTACAGAACTAGACTGTTTTTACATTCATTGCTACTAAGAGATAAAAGTTGTAATGTTATTACCGATGGTAATAGAAACTTAAGCTTATCTGAACAAGCATCAAGTCTATCTCTCTCTGCAGGAAAATCAAGGGACTAAATAAGGCAAAATAAAAACATAAAACCAGACACACACGAGAGTAGTCGTTATTATAATAGCGGAATACGTCTCCACGTATTAGCGACAAGACAGTTCAAAACAGACAGAAGCATTGAAAACCTTCTTGGTTATGCAGCCACACAATTTTACTTTAGATCACCACACAAACCAAGCATCAGCTTTCAAATAACATGCTAGAGCCTAAAGCCTGATGTTACAAGCAGAAACATCTAAATGCTTAACATTTAAAAGTAAAAAAAATTCTCCTGGAGTTAGAGTAACTCGAATGATCTTAACAATGAATAAAGTAATTGCAATTTATTTTAATACCCGTTAAGCAGCTTCTCAAGGACATTGTTTGATGGTACAGAGCTCTGTCATACGTGACTGTCTTCAACACAACATTACGTCAAACAATGCTTGCATCTTCCCTGTAACCTTCTCAATTAAAATATATGTGAAATGAAAAACACAAGCCCAACTAGAAGTCTCCCACAACAGGACAGACAGTCTCCAGACAGAAACACACCAAAGTTGGTCCTGCAAAGGAGCCACTAGTTCTTCACCCAGGACGGAAGGAACCAAGCCAGTATAAGGGGTTCAGCTACAGAACAAATTTCCACTCGAGAAGACAAAAAGCTTCTGTGAAGAAAAGCTATAGTAGGAAGACTGAGTTTTCTAACAGGAGTCGTTTGTCCATTGACCAACTACCATTGGAACAGAAACACGTAGGGAAGACAGACTGAGAAAACCCCAGGCTGCAGTTTGTGCGTCAATGCTTCAGGAAGAAGGAATCAGCCTCTACTTTTCCACCTGCGAATCCTAGGTGGCCTACAAACTGCTTCTCTGGATAGATTTGTAAATCTTACACCCCTTAACACGCAAAACTCTAGGGAGATTGTTACCATTATATATTTCAGCAGTATGAGAAGTTTTATCTTTTCTACGCTAGAAGTATGGATTTTTTGGTTGTGAGCTGTACTTCAACAGTTTTGACATTACGGAGTAGTCAAATACATACAATCCTTTAAATGTGTTCTTTTTCCAAAAACGAAAAATTTCAGAAAGGTAGAGCCCCAAACTCAACCACAGCTCATTGAGAGCTCTTCAGCCTATTGAAATATAAGAGAACTATGTACTCAAAGACACTATTACAAAGGGATTAGCTCTGCATTCAGACAAGCGAAATCACCGATTTCAACAGCAGTTTCACGGAAACAAATTTCTGCAAGCACCAACACAGGTCATGAAAGCAGGTTATCATTAAAAAGCTACATTTGTTCTAATGAACTGCAGGTACACACACATGCAAGTCCACGTTAACAGTTTTTCTCCAACATTTATCCATCTGCTTAAACAATCCTGTTGCCCGCACAATTCAATTTTAACCTGTACAGTCCACACAAAGTAGTCTTGTGAGGGATGCTCCATTAACCATCTTATTAGAGTTACACAGCAATGCTCAGCTCCAATTTTAACTAGCAAAAAAACCCAAGATTATTAAGAGTCAAGTACAACAGACAGTGTACAGAAGTGGAACGGAGGCACCTTGCAGCCACGCAATCGTTATTATATTATACCACATGACCAAGAGCAAGTGCTCCGGAACCCAAGACGTGACAATACCATTTCTTTATCCTTCCTTGTCAGTAAACCTGCAGATGCCATTAATACTGCTGCTTAGCAACCTTACATATTCCAAGTTTGTGCGCACAGGACAAAGAAATGAAACAATTTAGCCAAAACAAAGCCAGGTAATAACAGAGCGTATAGTTTGGTTCCGCAGTAGGACTCAGTATTTTAAGCTCCTTTTCACCTGAGAAGACCTTGCTCAGACAGACAGAATGGCTGATTTACCCAAGAATTCATTACTGCTGCAGCTTCCCCTTTAGAAAGGATTGCTACTTTGCCAGCTCTATAAATCTTTACCTGTTCCAGAACTGAGCATTGAGCCTCCATAAATATCCAGAGCCAGCTGAGAATAGGCATAGCCGAAAACTGTGATGGTAAGGCCAATCAGAAGGACAAGTTTCAACAGCAATTCTAACACACTTGCAGCCATAGCAACATCATCCTGAAAAAAACTGTATTCAGTTACATGAATCAGAAACAACCTAAGAGTTATTTTCACACAGAAAAGCTGCTTGGGGGTGGGGGGGGGAGGGAAATCAGTTTTTGCATGCTGTAGAGAAGCATCAAAACTATCCTTTGGTATTAAATTAGCGATAAAGCTGTCTTAACTTCCAAAAATTTGTATATACCGATTGTTCTGTTCTACAGCTTTCTCATTCAAAACTCTATGCAAATATCAGCCATCAGTACGTCTGCTCCAGGAGCTGGGCAGAACACGTTGCTCTATCCCTGTCAGAAAGTCAGTAAATTGCAAAGAAAAGCACTCCACTTGCCTAAGGCCACAGTCTGAGCTAGCAGGAGAGTCAGGTTTTTACTGCCACACAGGACTACAGGATTTGCCACATCAGAACAAGTAACCTGCCAGCTCTTCTGCCCTGTTACCGGAAGCAGCTGACACTAGATACCGTGTGAAAACTCTTAAGTCATTTTGCCAGGTATGCAACATTGCATACAGAGCTTACTACATATGCCTCCCTTACCCCACCAATGACCTAAAGCATGGGATTTGTTTAACTGCGCGCTACTGTGCATGCATGCTCTAGGATTACTACAAAAAAATTATCCAAGTATAGTACGAGAAAAAAGCCCAGGTTGAGTTTCACGCTTGATCAAGTATTTCTTACTAGAGCATGCATGAATGCTCCACAGAACAAACCCCTTGCTCTTATATTACTTACCATAAATGACTGTTATTCCATACAAATTCAAAAGCTCAAGTAAAATGCACTCCAACTCTCTTCTTTCCAAAATTCATTCTTTAGAAGCATTATGGTTTAACACCAACAAGTTATACTCGTAAGTCAAGTATATTCAAATCACATTCATTTGTTAGAAACAGCATGTTCTCACAGCATAATCCACAATATGATTGCCTAAGCACATCTGCAAATGCACTGTACACAAGGGCTCGCATCATACTATTTAAAGCAGATGATGTTAACATCAGCTAGAATATAACGCAGTATTATGCCACTGCATACCTTAATTTCTATTTTACTAGAATTTTACCTATCGTCTTTCTGTCTGGTCCAGCCTCGCTTCCCCATTTTTGTTGTTCATTTTCGCTTCAAGCTTTTGTTTTCAACTTTTACAGGCTTTATCCTCAAAAATTTAAACACGCAGTCAGTCAGTCTCACTCCTGTGACGCAAAAAGCAAGCTACATTTGACACTGAATTAATCTTAAACATACATACCTGTTTCTGGTGCTTTACGTTCTTCCCTCTTTCCAATACTTTAGCAAAAAAGACATAAAAACTCTCTTCGATAGGCAAAAATATAAACCTGGCCACCAGTGAACCAAGATTATTTATGATATCATATACACCTTTAAAAACAAAAGACACCAACAATCTTTAAGTTAAGAACCAGTTTAACTCTAAATCTTTAGCAATGCCATGTATTCTAATTTAACATATCCACTGAACAAAGAAAACAAGTGGGCCTTAGCGTCACCTAGAAGCGGTATACGCTAAACCTTCTGATCAGTGACAGCAACCACAGCCTGAAAATACAGGGTTTGCTCACAGACACGTGGCAGAGCCAGAGCATCAACTAACGAGATGTGAATCTAGTAACAGCATCAAAATACACTTAGAATTCTTACTATATCAGAAGTTAAAAAAAAAATCCTGAAAAACAAGAATCTGTTAACTGAATAGGAACAGGAACGTAAAGATTTTACTAAATACAGGACAAGAGAAAAACATCCATCTTTAAATACAAGGTGGTTCGTTCTTTTTACTTTCACTGAGGTGGAAGAGCAATCCTATACAACGTTTTACTGGTACTTCCATCCTCTGTAAGATACCGAGCACTGCTCCAAACCTCCCAAGACATCTGTGCAGATTACTACAATACAATCACTCCCAGCTTATGAAGTTAGGCATAAGGATAAGCATTTTACATGGTCACCGTAGAATAATACCATATTGCCAGGCTTGGAACCTGTTTCACAATGTTTCGAGAATGCAATCATTTCTGCCCTCAGTCTTTTGGAGGCCCTTTGAGTAAGGGGCAGCTCAACTGTTCCTCAGGGAAGGAGGATGGTAAGTGCCTGCAGTTACTGGGAGCAAGCATCTACACTCCACCAGTATTTACAGGGGAACGTAGCATTGTCAAAAATGAAGAGCAGTCTGAACTAGCCACAAAACTTCAAAGAGCGGGCCTGCAATTAGGGCCTTTTTTCAAGCGCCAGGCTGTAAGACCCGAGATGCTACCAACTCAGTCATCTGCATTGCTGCTGCCATATGTCACTGCATCATCACAATGCACTCTTTCACAGAATGGAACTCAGTCTGAGATGCAACGCTATGAACAATGCAAAACATTCTTAGAAAATTTTAACAATGCTGTAACGACAGCTAAACAAGATTCAAAAAGATAGAAAACAGCAAGAAAACAAATAAAATTGCAAAAAAAAGGAAGGCAAATACAACCGTAACGCATCAGATACTACTAGACCCCTACTAATGAAGATAAAACACACACATGGTATCTCATACCCAATTGGAAAGTTTTGTTCCAGAGAAAAAGAAAACTAAAACTGAGCACCTTAACTTAAATTCTCTCTTCTATACCCATTTATCAGTCATTCTCTGACATGTACCTCAAAGTCAAAGGCTTAGAAATCTTCCCAGATTTCCAAGCTAATTTTTAAATTCTGTAAATTATTTTCAGAATTAACTGAAAAACAGGCACTTGGTAACTGTGCCACTATTCCACAATACCACTGCACTTACCCTGATCTCCAAAATTTAACACATTCAAAAAAGTCATCACATATCGTTCACCTGCAAGTTGAAAACACAGACATTAATAGCAAGCATGGAATGTAGTCTCTAAACCCTTCCCAAGATTTATTCAGATATTTCCAGTGCTAAGGATTCAAGAGACAAAGTCAAACAGGACAGCAGCTAGTTCAGAACACCCTCAACAGCACCATCCAGGTTGGTAACGTCCGCTGGTGGCAATTTCTCTGAAAGTCAGCCTCCCAACAGCTTTCTCAGCCTCCAAGACAACTATGTAACTAGTATATTATTCATTAGCATCAGTTCATCTTTAAAGATTTGTCTTGTCAGTGAAGAAAAACGTTACCAGCTCATAATACAATATGCTCAGGGACAGTGGGAGCAAGGGGTTAAAAATAAATTTAAGGTCAAAACGTCATTTAAAATACATTTACTATCTAAGAAAGCTGTGTAAAAGTTTCATAAATACGTTCATCGATCAAGTATTACCTTGACATAATGTTAAAGAATACAAAAATTATCTTCTGGTTTGGGGACAAGTTTGTTCTTCAGTTTTTTTTAAGTTTGTTTTCTTCTCCACACAGAGCACAGAATAGGCTAGCATTAGCTAACCACAGTGGTGCCCCACCACAGCAGGCCGAATAGCCTGTCTCCTCCTCACGGAAGCCTACCCAGCTGTACATAATTACAGCTTATCTGTATACATGCAGTATGTCCAATGAGTTCCAAAAGCATCAAACACATTGAATCAATTGAAGCATGTACGCGTAGCAGGTGCCTACCTCCTTACCGCTTCTGAGGAAGGGGCGGCCAAAAGTTGGCTGCTGTTGCCACAGCAATTTACCACCCAGCTTTTGGTCTCCTCCCAATCCCCTTCCTTCCTAAGGGTTCCTTGCACACAGGCAAAAGGCAGGCTGCAGGCTCCAGTTCCAATCTCAGCAACCCCCTCCTTGCCCTGACCCTTCTCCATCACACCTATCTATTAAGCCTCACCTTCTGTCAAAATCTGTTTCAAGAAAGACTGTTTGAAGAAGCTCCAAGTCAACCGTGCCTCTTTCCAGTTAACGAAAGTCTGCAGAAAAGTAGTACTGAAATATAATAAACATGACTGAAACTACTAAATAGAATTACAAAATAGGAAGACAGTGCATTACTCCAGGCCAGCTCTAGCCACTGGGTATAAATTAGCAGCTATGACATCGTGGATTTTCCTCATGACTAATCTAAAACATCACTAAATTCAAGCACAAACTTCACTCCGATTTGGCCAAGTAACTTTTTCCTTTGGTAAAAGTTACTATTGGTGCAGATAGCTAAAGGACCTGAAGAAGTTTTCCAAAGACCTCATTGTAGACAAATTTCTTACCACTCTTCAAACTCTCCCAGCAAGTCTAGCAACCTATAACAACCCCAATCCATACATTTTCAAAAGGTCTTCTTCCCTCACTGTGGCTTTTCATTTCTTCCCTTGCCTAATTTCCTCTTGAGAGTACACAGTAGATATCCAAGTGTCTGCAGGGCACTGTGCACTACGGTGTTTATTTTGTGGAAAACAGTAAGTACCAAAATTCACGGTAGAATGGTTCTGGCCTCTCTCCTGCCTCCAGTGCAGTAATACCTGGCTAATCCCCTTCACACTACAGATGTTCCACCTTCAGCTTACACTCTGTGTGAAGATACTAAAAGGTATGTCAGTCAACAACCCCATAACAACAAGAAGGTCAAGTATCATTACGTTTTTCTGACAAGGCTTTTAAATGTTTGACACAAATTGAGCAGTGACGGCACAGCAATTTGTCAGGCTACAGGGATGTATTCACCAGGAGAAAAAGAGCGGAAAAGAAGAGAGGATGGCAGCCTTCCCCCTTGCGCTGCCCATTGCGGCAGGGACTGGAAGGTATTCAAAGGAGGAGTAGTCCCCCGCTCGTGCAAGCATCCCATTCCCTTGGCGCTGCACTCAGCCCAGATATAAAAGATGTTACTAACATCAGAATTGTCATGTAATGGTTTACTCTCAACTAGCCATTTCTTTCATAGTTCAGAGATATCCTCAAGAATCACACTTTAACTCCAGTGCCTCAGGCTAGTTTTCAAAACTTTCCCCAAGACAGACTGTAAAACTAAGAAATAAACCGTGTGACCTACCTCATCTTCTACCAAGCTGGGTAAAAGAGCTTTCATTCTAGCAACTGGAAATGACTTCTTTGTTGCTTCAGGAGACCCCAGAAATATCACAAAATAAATTACATAGCACATGACCAGAACGCTGGCATATAAAAGCTGGAAAGAGAGCAAAGGAGAGAAGAAAGAGATGACCAGTGATACAAAATTAACTTAAAAATGCAGAATTACGTAACAGAAAGCCAAATTCAGAAAGAAGAGGTTATTTTAAATAGTTCTTACCCCTGTCAAATGCTAGGCTAAAGACATGAATTTAAGAAATAAGAGAGAAAAAAACAAAACAAGAACACAAGAATACCGTTGATGTTGCTATTTTAATCAATAATTCAGCATCATTATTGGCCCTTCACCAGCTATTTTTATGCTCTATCCAGTATTTTCAAAGTTATTGTATGTTCAGTCCAATTATAAAGCAATTATTCATTTGGGTGGGGGTTGAAGGAAATTGCCAGAGCAACTACTGTCTACACAGGCTATATACCACAGCCAGCACGGGATAGGTGATCTGATAATGCACATGCCACATCTACTTTTCAGGAGTCAGTTTATTCATTCTCTATTGTAGCAAAGAAAAAGTCTTAACCTAAGTCAATCAGATGCGAGAGGCACTTGTTACCTTCCAATTATCGCCTTCTACGCAGCAGAACCTCAAGTCAAATATTAAATTAATACTGAAGCCAGCTGATGAGCAGGCTCCTCAAGCATTAGGATGTGTAAGTGATTTAGAAAAGAAGTGAAAATAAAGCTTACATAGAATAACATAGCCTTATTTGCAGAACGTGTCCTCATACACAGAACACACTGCTTCCTTATACCTCCGTTCAGCTGATCTAGGTCAAAGTGCAAGTCAATAATGAGTATCAGCATAACGAGACTTGCATCTTAAACCTCAGAAGAGGTGAGATAAAACGTTCCTATGTTATTTAAGCAGGCTAAATGCCAAAAGCAACAGAAAATTAAAAAAAAAAATCAGATAAATCAAGCATTTACAGAAAAAGAGAACATAAGAAACTTACCTGTGCCAAGGAAAAAATGTAGAGGCCCCACTGAGGATAAAGAATTACTAAAATTACTGTCAAAAAACATTTTGACAACACTGAAAAGCTTTCAGCAATTACCTTTAAGAGAAAGAAAATAGAGAAAGTTTATTTTCTGACAACTTAACCACATATAGAAACTTAAAACATATTTCACACACAAAATATATATAGAAAGAACGTAAGATTTTTCAAAGTCAGTAGGACCTTATTGCAAAGTTTTCCTTCTGCTAAATTGGTCATCTTAGATTGCAATTACTCTGTAAATCTTCAGTTCTTGTGTTTCACAATGCCTCCATTGTACTTTCCCAGTTCCTTGTACGGGATACAAGGGAGAAAATTTTGCTCAAGACAATCATGTTCTTAATTGCTGCATTTCACAATTTAATACCCACAACCAACTGAAATGCAAAATTACAGAAGCTGTATGCCTCTCCCTCCAATTAAAACTCATGATTATATATTCAATGATCAGCAAGATGATAGTCTCTAAATAAACTAACTTCCTTGCTTTAACAGTTACGCATTCATATGTCACAAGTTAGTTATACAGTATTAAACTTACCACGTTTTAACGTGCTTGCACATACAAAGATGTAGTCTGGGAATCTGGTTTTTGCATTAACTTTTCGTTATCTCTTCAACAGAAAAAGAGAGGGTTTTTTTCCACATACTTAGCCTGCTTTACTAACCTTAAGTCTTACGAATAAATGAGCTTGTGCTAAAACCCAGAACGGTTCTCCCAGAAGCTCAATAACTGCAGAAAAACCAAATGCCACTACGCCAGCCTGATAATGAGGAACCACAGCAGGATCAGGCACTTCAAGCAACTGTAGCCAGACTGAGCCCAAGAAAATAGACCAGAAAACACCAAGAGGAACTCTAGAAAGGTAACATAAAAGCAATCCATTAAAAAAAAAAAAAAAGAGTATTAGATTAAAATTTCACATACTGCCATATTAAAAAAAATTAAAAATATGCTCTGCAGAACTCACTTCTATTGCAACTACACTAAGAACGCTTTGAGTTTTGCTGGGTTTTTTTCTTTCTTTTTTTTTTTCCCCTAGTAATGGACATCTTTACACATTCCTTTCTGAGACACAGATGAGAAAACATTGTTATGACTTGTCTGTTTCCTTCCACAAGGATCTACTATAAGGTCAGCTATCCACATTTCTTATTTTCCGGGCCTGAACAATTCTGGTCCCATATCAGCCTGTAGAAATACATAAATGTCTTAGTTCTGTGTTTTTTAATAGGGTTATATGATTTCCAGGGACTGGACAGACAAGCTTCGGGGAAGCTTGGTGTAACAGCTAACAAAGTCACCACTCCAACTGCTAGTCTCACACTTGCAGAGATCACTGCTTCTTCAGAGAGGGACAGCAGAGTTAGCAGAAGAAAATGCATGCCTGCACATCAGGTATGCCAGTTCACGTTGCTGTAACATAGCTCAAAGCCACTTCGATTAGTGATTGCAGCTAAGAAGCCAAGCTGTGCACAAGAGCGCAGCCGTGCATTACCTTCTGTTGACACTGCTTCAGGAACGCAAAGCCTCTGGCATAGCGCAGAAAGTTTTACACCATTGCATCAGGATTTATCTGACCGTCCCATTATCAGACCCCTAAGATATCTGACACATTCACGTCCTTCAAGAAAGTTAATCTTCATTTTAAGTTACGCTTCACTAGGAGAAAAGAACAAATAGCACACAGTCATTGCTAACTATCATTTAATGCCCAATTGAAAGGCATTCAAATAGCAGAAAAATGAAGGTTGCTTAAAAAATAAAATAAAGTACAGCAAAGAGAACGTATCTGTTTAAAGTAACTAATCCACGTCTCAACTGAACTAACAGCAGCTATCCCTGAATGGGACAATCCCTCTTCCTTATCCCTGGATGCAGATGACCACATACAGCCCCCCAAGGCTGGCTCAGACCTAATAACTGCAGTTCCAGGGAAAGCCAGTTGGATAATCCAGCGGAAAACTACTCTTTTCTTGCAGAGTTAGTTTTCCACCATGTCATCCAGGTGAACTGACTCCCCCACCTGTCACTGCACAGCTGCTAGAAACAGCACAGAGGAAGTAGCAGGGATGCGCATCCAGCAACAAACCAGCCATAAAATCAGTTTAGCGGCAATGAACGCGCAGTTAGACTCTCTAGCTGCAGCTTCACGTATACTTTAAGACACCCGCTTTTCTAGACAAAAACCGTAGAGCTTTCGAAAGAAGTAGTCCTACTTATTCCCTGTTGTTCAATTTCATCCTCACTTCTTCCAACCCTACAGAAACAATTATGCTGCTGTGCCATCAAACTGAATCAGGGCTCAGACTCTGACAAAACCGGTTGTGAAAAAAGAAAAGCCTAGCTCAGACTAGTTCTCCAACTCCATTCAAATGCACCTTCACAAATTCCTATGGAGTAGTAAAGTCTAAGACTAAGCAAGCAAAGAAAAAGAAAGGACAACAAATTTTGGGCAACAAGTTCTCCCCTTTGACATCTACAGCATAAATGAAAAACCAGCCCAAAGTGACAAAACTAACGGTTCCTGGTAGTGCCTTTCGCAATAGGCAGGCCCGCTTACTCCGAAGAAAAAAATGAAGTCCATAAATAGGAAAAACAGCTGACTGCTTCCACTGTATCGGTCCTGAAAATATGATAGAGGCTACTAAGCGGCTCAATTCTGAAATAATTGCCTCACTAAATACTTGTTTTCATTTTGGTTTCATTTCTCAGACAAAAACCAGGAGTAAATACAAGTTTTTAAAGGTCTCTTACGTTAGCCACAGTAGATTAATTGTTTTAGTCCAGTCCCGCTTTGTACTTCCACTCAAACAAGCTCTGCGAAACGCCTCCCTGGCCAGGAAGAGAACTGTTGAGTAAAGCAGCGTTAGCCTAAAGAAGCCAAAAAAAAAAAGTGAGAGAAATGATTCCTTCATATACCGTTTCGGGATTTGTTGGCAGCATCACAGACCGATTGAGGTAGGAAAGGACCTTCAGAGACCCTCTAGGGCCAAAACTGCTTCCGCAGTGCGATTACGGACAAAATCCTCTCACGTAACGCTGCGTGACACACAGATCTTAAATCGAGAAGCACGAAAAGGAAACGTTGCCGCGCCACGGGGATACAAGGTAAACCATCGCCTTCTCCTAAACGCCAGGGAGAGTTACTAGAAGTGACAACAAACAGCAGAAACACTTCCAGCACGCCACAGGGCGGTAGCGCAGCTGTAGGGTTAGCAGCAGCAGCATGTAACGCAACGCTGCCCAGCTTCCCCCGCCGCAAGCCCAGGCCTTAACGTTAAAACAGGCTCAGCAGCGCCTCAGCAAGGTCCGAGGCAAACAAAAACCCCGCACAACCCCGGAAGCGCTGGAAGAGCAAACGCCAGGAGACACCTAACGGTGAATCACACGGCGAGCGCTGCCGGCAACGCCTCCCGCACGG